ATCTCTTTCATACTCGAAAAGGCCATTAAAGGTTTTTAATGGAGTGTAATGTATATACTAGATTATACTTTATACAGTAATAAATTTATAAACGTGTACAATAATAAATTGTTAATATAAATATATAAAGATTACCTTCAGCGGCTCTGCCTTAATTGGATTGGTGGTTTGAATTTATTAACAAAATTAAATCATCTGGGGAGGTATTAAAATTTTTTTTATTTATCGTAGTTTATAAAGTTTTTAATGAAAATAGTGTATTATAAATGGAAATTAAATTATTTACAGCTTAAAAAAAGGTTAAACGTTTTAAAGTTGACATGTAACGAATTTGCGTTTAGATACGACGTATCAATTTTTTGAGATATAACAATTTAAAACGATATCGATACCTACCTATATTTCGTTTTGTAGAAATAAAAATATTGTTAAAGAAACAAAATAAAAATATAATAATCAATTCGATTTATATAAACAATGTATCTTAAATAAATAAACTTCAATATTACGGCTAACAAAACACGAACACAACAAACAAATGGATAATAGTTATTGATAAAATAAAAATAAAAAAACAAATAGCATGAAACGTGTTACATAAGTCATTATCAGTGTTTCATGACAGTATTGTTATAAAAATATGATATTTGTCAATGTGTATTTTGATCAGCATGCTTTTGGCGTGCGCTAGCCATTTAATTTATTACATTTTTTGCAAACTAAGTATTGTAAAATTATAATATCTGGTTGTCATGAAATTAATAATTTACGACGATTTTCCCTTTCAATAGCGTTTTATTGTAAATGTATATGTAGTCAAAATTACAATATCTAAAGGTTATAAAAACGATATGTTTTACTAAATTTCTTCTAATAGTCTATTCTGGACCGGGTGATTGAAATCGTATTTCAAACTATTTTTGGTATTTTAAAAAGAAAAAAATATATTGTGTAGAGTTTGAAGTATTAAAACAACTGTTTAAAAAAGACTAATTCTATACTAATTTTTTTATGAGTGGTTTTTAAAGCTTTTTAATTGTTTTTATGAACAGCTAATTTTTTTATTTATGAAAATCTTACACTAATAAAATGTGTTCCTACATGTTCTTCATTCCAAACTGTGAACGGTAGTAAAAGTATTATTGATCTACGCAAAACTTGAATTCACACTCAAAGGCTTGAATAATATAAAAAGAAAAAGGGTGTAAGTATTATATTATTATACACAGTAAAACTAAGTATCACCCTGAAAAAACAACTTCAAGAGAAAAAGTGAAAATTCATTCATCCATTCTTGGACAACATTTTATATTTTATATTTTATTTTATACATTTTATATATTTTATATAACATTTTATAGTTTTAATAACTCTCGAAAGAACCTAAAAACTGCCCTCTTGAAATGAGTCAGGTATTAATTCATATTTATGATATTTTTTTTTTAGATCAACTCAAAAATACTGAATTAGAGTAAAGCATGAACAGTTTAATTATATATTATTATAACCACCCGAAATATGCATGTATTTATTTAAATTTTGTTTGTCTGTATCTACTCGGAACATTATTAAAATTCCGCTAAAATATCCGTTAGTTTGCTTATTGATTTGTTCAAAGAAATCCACTCACAATTTACTATTATATATATAATATACCAAAGGTACAATAATATTATATATATATATATATTATAAATATTTTATCGTATATTTATATACATCGTTTATTTAGGTTTGGATTTTATTTGTATTTCAACTTTACTGTTTTTACAGCTGCATTTTTCAGTTCCAGTTATTTGTTTAAAGACATCGCACGAGTTTTTGTAATTTAAATTTGATTTTATACATTTTAGTAGGAGAAATCGCATTTGTTTGAGTAGAATTGTTATTAAATTGTTTTGCTTTCGAGTTAGTTGTTTCCGAAAGTTTAAGATCAATGTAAGAGCGGTTTTGTAAGCCCTTGAATTTTGTAGAATGTATTTTACTCATTTGAGCTAATGGAAAATTTATTGGTTACGTTCCAAAATCCTTAATTTAAACAATTGTATATTATTTAAATATTTAAATTTAACATTAACAAGGATGACTATCCTAATTAATCGTCTCTAAAAAGAAGCTCATTATACAAAATATTCATATTACAACATATAATTTTATTATTATTTATCAATTAAAATAATTAGTAAATACATTCGTACTCATGTTAAAATATAAAATGTGGACAAATAGTTTTTTTGCAGATACAATTCAACATTTCAATCTCAGACAAATTGTATAATAGTAATTAATGACGATAAATGTAGCTAATAAATTGGATTAAAAGTTAAAACACATTAATATTATACATCATCTATGATTAATTAAGAGTCTATACCTAACAACATAGTATAGGTATTACTCGGAGGTCAGAAATATAAAGCATAATTTTTAAAGAAATATGTTTAATATGGTATTTGTAATTAATTTAAGTACAACGTTGTTCTAACTAAGATATCATTTTTTTTTAAAAATCATTAACAATGCTTTAAACAATTATTATAAAAAGAAATTTGATCGGCCTACAAAGCTTCAATTTGTGAATATAATTACGAAATTGAATACATTTTAAATAATAAATATATAAATTAAAAAATAAATTAATAAAATTAAAACTAAAATATTAATTAATTATACGTATTTTGTATCATATACTTCTATCGATAACCTCTATATTTTTAAGATCTACTTAAATTTATTACACAATTTTATCATAATATATTTTAATCAAAACTGAATCTAAAATGTTGAAAAACATTGACAATTTATGTTATCACCCTTCTTCAAAATAAAATAAAAGTTTTAAATTGGATTTTAGTACACTATATTGGTATACCAAATGTAAGACTTGAGATTTTAATATAACATATTATTAATCGTCATAAATAAAAACTTTATTAATTACAATTTGTCGATACAAAATTATAAATGACATTAAATCGGCTATGATATTGTACGCTTCCATTAATAATAATAATAATGCCTGTGTGGACGTTGTCGTATACGGCCATCATTCGATTTGATGCACATGTCATGTACACATAATTACACACAAGCACAATTAAGTTTCATTCTCAGACGCAATCAAGTAATATGACGTAAGTAACAAGTGCGATCGTGTACAGAATAGTTTAGATGACCGCGTAGTAAGTAACAAGTGCGATCGTGTGTGGAATAGTTTAGATGACCACGTAATAATAGTAACAAGACCGTTCAAGTGCAGAATAGTTTTGAGCGTGTAGACGACCACACGAAGGAAAAGTGTACGATCGAAAACGGAATAGTTTGAAGACAGGAGAATCGCGACAACGTTATCCCATTTCTTTTCTTAACCTAGTGACTGGTGAAAAGCAGAGTGTTGACCCTCGTCAACAACTTTTATTTTTAATCAATAATTTCGAAATGAGGTTTTTGAAAAAAATTTTTTATAATATATATAGAGCCGATATGTTATTATAAATCGCAGTATTCTCAAAATTAGGTACCTACCTATAAACTCGAAGAAATGAAAAAATTGAAATTGTTTGCTTTCGTGTTTCTGAAAATAAAAGATAAAAATGTATACGACAAATCGATGTAAATATTTTAACAGTTGAAGTATCGATTTCCATAAGATATTCAAACAGTAATGTGAGGTTATTGTTAAGTATTGCTTCCAGGTAGGAGGTGGATACGCAGGGTATTTAAATAATATACCGAATGTGTGATACGATGTGCCCACAGAAACGGGGACTATATGCATACTTGCTAATTCAGTTAGGTCATTATCATTCACTGGGTCATTATTTTCTTCACTCAAATGTTTTCAACTCATATATCCTTCGTATGGACAAGTACAATACAACTTTATATTTTTGTTTTATATATTTGAATGGTAAGTCAATTATTTTTCAAGTCAGTTCGATATACCTATCACTTTGTTTTCTAAATCCAAAATTTACTTGATGAAAGAGTTATTTCTAATTAAAAAAATCTTACAAATACAAAATAATTAAATACCAAATACTTTTTCAGTACCTATTTAACTACCTACCCCCCTCCCACCATTATAGCTAAAAGACAATTTTCTCACGATAATAACCCCTGGATAGCCGCTGGATCAAAGCCAGAGAGAGAAAACAAATAGAGCTCTGGAATTCTCATTTCTTCTTCATTTTTTCAATTTATTTTGTTGAGGTTATTTCTGAAGTACAAATTCAATATTGAACTCAACTACAACACATTTTCAAGTTTGGGGAAAATACACTTCTCTAAATTGCAATTACTATACATTAAAACCACGGTTTAATAAAAAAATGTCAAACAGTGTGTGGCAAAGGTGTATAATATATATCATTTAAAAATCCTTCAAATGTTGTGGGTGAATTAGAACATGTTATGTGATAAATTTGGTTCATTTATCCCAACACGTCAACACAGCTACTACTAAGCATAGCAGTTGGGTATATTATTATACTAATTAGATGCACTTTAATTTTTTAACAGCCACCAGTCACCGCTGGATTATTGTAATATCAAACAACAACTAATTTATTAAAATTTTATTTTTCTTCGTGTACACGATGAATAATTAATTTTGCATAAATTAATCATATAAACATAATATAGTATAGGGATAGAATAACAAATACGTAATGAACATATTATGGATGTTTCTAATATTTTAGACTTGAGTTATTCTGTGCCGACGTTTTAGGAGATAGAAGTAGTCTGAAGTATAATGTTCGTATTTTGGTGATCTACAACTATCACGTAAGATAAAATCTATTTATCTATTTATTAAATTAATCTAAGAATTAAAAATAATATAATCAAATAATGAAGTATGGTGTAGAATGCGAAATGTATATATAATAGACATAAACTATATATATATATATATATATATATATATATATATAATTATTATGAAAAGTATTCACTTTACTTAAAGTACAAATGTTTGTGTATAGGTTGCTCACAGATTTTAATTGTCTTGTCACATCCCTGTGATTACTATTTCAAAGTTTTTTTTATCTATTTCAAATTGGATTTTTGGCTTGTATACAGGCCTAATTTTCGAAAAACATGGTTATTATTTTATTAATTAAGTAAAATTTACTTGATCAATAATAGGTAAATAGACAATTTCTTCAATACCTAATAATTTAATTCAGATTGATAAGACAAGTATTATAAACGTAAACAAGGAAGAGTCTTCGGGGATGTTGAGCGTGTGGCTGGGAAATGGGCACCTCCTGATATATTATATTTGCGTAAAAAACTATCGTTATTAATGTAATCATAAAAAAAATACCGAGTGAGTCGTTCTACTAAACAGTAGATTTCGAGTTTACCTTATCATTGAGTAGGCCACTAATGATTTATGTTTATCTAAATTTGAATTGAACAATAAATCATTGCATGCAAAAAACGATTATGGGTAGTGATATTCAGAAGATATTTTAAAATTACCTTAAATTTATGAAGGTCTTACAATGTATACAAATTACTGCTAATAATTTAATTTTCTATTGACAGTCAGATAATGTGGAATGTTGAGCTAATGTTTTCCGAAAACATCATATAATATCAGACATTAACTGTAATAATCAATACGGCTTATATATTCAGTTTCTTTGAAAATATCGGTAGTATAGTAACGCCTTGTGCTATTATAACAATAATAATATAGTTTGTAACCAAGTCTGTATAATAAATCAAGTTAATCGATAATCCATCTAATTTTTCTAATTTTTCGAACGTAACGCGGATATGTGTTCAAAATGTTCAACTATGATTCAAGTAATTTCGATATCAATATTGCTGTTACAGTCAGCCGTGAACTCTCCAATTCCTTTATATAGTAAACTTGCATAAACATACATTTTGAAAATAATAGACATTTTGTATTTTTCATACTAAAATATCACACAAACAGTACCTAATTTACAATATAGAGGCATAGGGTATACGCTCGGTTATCATTTCAGATGAAGATATTCAGGAGCCAACACGAAACTGTCATTCTACTGTCCAGCCGTGTGGTGAAGGTTTGTTCCGGGATCCGCTCGAGATCTTGGGTTCGTTACATACGTATTTACTACTTTTCACTTCAATTTTCACAGGATTTTGTATACTCGTAGACCGTATATAATTGCATAAATCATATACGCTGAAATATAGCCATATATATAAGTTAGGTTATATGGTAGGTACCTACTCTGTTTAAGGAGAAGCTTGGTGCTTGAAGTATGTGGGTCACAGTGGTAGATGAATATTGTTTGATCAGACTTGTATTCTTTTTTTTAGTACGGTTGTAAAACCTCGGTTAACCTAGAAATAATTATTATTGTAATACTGTATTACTTATTGGTACCTATATTTTTCTCACCCATAAAACGTATATATATAATATATCGCCTGTCTAGTAGATATAGCTGAGCTCGCACCTTTGGTGGTCAAACAGGGGGGGGGGGTAGATCTCCCATGACCTTTTTTGAATGTTTAAGAGCTGATTACCATAAATTACATTTTTAATAATCAAATAGTGCATGTTAAAAAATCACTTGACACAATCCTCTCTTGACAAAATAATTTGACCGCCACTGGCTTGCACAAACTTTACTGCAATACGCGAGCTGTTAATACCCAAGTGTGGAAACTGACAGTTAATCGGGTGATGATATTTGAGGTTCTATACTGTATTATCTTATCTGACTTCTTAACCAGCCCGGTTAAGCTTGAAATGTCAAGTGAGGACAGACTTGGCAAATATTCGATGAATCTGAGATCAGAAACATTGTACTCATGATAACGTATTGTGTATATAAGTATAAGGCTCGTAAGGTTTTTAAATATTATAAACCTACCCGTTGTATCATTGCAGGTGATAAATTCACAGAAGCCAGAATCTTACATTTATGCAAGGCGGATGTGTATATGTTTGCCGATGTGATTTCGGATGTGTTCTTTTCGCCGTGTGGCATCAAACTGTGCAAAAGTGTGTGTGATGGTTATCAGGAATCTATGAATATCGACGTAACAGTGAATGTGTCTCTCATCAACTCGAATTGCGATTACACCGGGGCAACGACTATTGTTGAACGTCTGGCCAATTGCACACATTTGGCCAAGTGTCCAGACCTGAGCACCGCGTGCGTGTGCTACTATAACGTCCGATGCGACCGCCGGACGAAGGCAATAACCTATACTTTTACACCTAACCGACAAGGCTATCTTAGGGTAATGGTAACCGATTCTGGAACTCCAGTGTATATTACTTGATCCCCCCCCCCCCCCCCCCC